CTCGTTTTGGGTCGTTCAATGTTTTATTAATGGCCATATTTCTATATATATACACACTATATAGTCTCATCAAATGCAAACACACATACAGCGACAACAACAACAGACACAAGGATCATTGCTGCACTCCAAATGGGTCCCTTCTTTTGTATTGACCCCCTAAGGATTGCTAATTCCCCCTTTCTAACTCTTCCCCCAAAATAATATATCGCCTCATTTAGAAATATAAAAAAGACAAAAACAATGGTTTTTAACACAAGTAACAGGTTGATAAAAAATGTAAACCTAAAATTTAACAATCAAGAAGTTTTAGCAGTTAGAGAATTTTTCTAGCTAGATACAGTATTTACTCCAAATGGCAAATTTAAACTAAACCGTGTGATGCTCAAAAACAAAGCAATAAAATCATTATTTACTATACGACAAACAATCCTAAGTCAGAAAAATATTTCAGTATCACTGAGTCTAAAAATATTTGATCAGTTAATATCTACAATATTAATGTATGGATCAGAAATCTGGGCCCATGAAATAAAGGACAATAACAGCTTAGAACAAATTTGTAATTACTTTTATCGTTTTATATTAGGTGTAAGTAAAGTAGCCCTAATCAGGGGTATTCAGGGTTGGTAGACTCCCAATAAGGATCAAAGCAGAAAAAGCTCAAATCAAATACTGGTATAGACTAAACACACTGTCAGTGAATCATATACTACATGGTGCATTAAAAGAAAACAATACAAACTGGAAAAAGAAGATTGAACATATCTTGGGGGAGAACCAATTTAATAAAACTAAAGGTGAATACGAGATAAAAAAACATCAATCAGTTCTCAAAAAATATCAAAAGTAAACTATCAAATGAATATACTGTGGAATACTTTATTTTCACTGGAATTAATTTCCGCTGAAAAGGCTTTTTGGGCGTTCTTTATGGAATTTATTTTCACTGATTTTTGATGAGTTAAATGTGAAATATAGGAAAAAAAAGTATATTCGCTGGATTTTATTTTCACGGAATCATCCCTTCAGTGAAAATAGCGAAAATAAATTCCAAGCGAGAATAAAGTATTCTACAGTAAACAGACCTGGAAAAATCAAATAGTTAGTTGTAGTAACAATCAAAACGAGGGAAATAAATTACAAACATACAGTTTTGTTCAAAACAATATTTAAAACTGAAAAATACCTAGAGGAAATAAAGGACTTCAGCATGAGAAGAATATTAACAAAATTCAGAATAAGTGACCATAATCTAGAAATTGAATTAGGACGAAGAAGGAAGCCAAAAGTGGAAGAAAAAGATAGAATATGTACAAAATGTAATGATAAAAAAGTGGAAAATGAAATCCATGTTATTTTAGACTGTGAGTGCTATAAGAAAGAACGAAAATTGCTGTTTATAGAATGTAACATAATAAATAAACAGAATAGAATAAACAATTTTATAAACATATGCAACAACAGTTTTCCACTAGTGAAATACCTAAAACAAACAATATACAAAAAATAACGTTTTTGTTTTGTGGTAATTTTTTCTTTATAGTATTGTTATTGTAATTTTCTCTTTATTGTTGTATTTTTTTTACCCACAGATGGTAATTGTTGAGTAATAAAGTTATTATTTAGAATTGTATTGACCCACTAATTAATAAATATTCATGAGCACAGAAACTGCCACGTCTTGAATAAATTAGCATAATTTAAAAAAAAAATGTGCATAAAGTGTAGGTATGTCTTCTGAAACCCTGCCTTAGGTCTTTTTTTCTATTCAAGAAACGTACCGAGCGCCTGTGGATCTATATACCAATTAGGTTTCATTGAAATGGGATGAGTAGGTCTTGAGATAATGGTAGAACAGACAGACATACACATACACATACATAAAGTGTACTCACCTCCCCTCCTTCAAGTCGTGTAAGATTCCGGTGACATCGCGGTTCAGTGCATTTCAAAGGCCCGATGATCTTATCTCCTTTTAAACAAGAAGGGGCATTCTCGCTGGCGTTTGGGTCCTTGTATAAATCAGCATGATCTTGATGAGTTCCATCCCTCAGTTCGGCAACCCCAAACGCAATGGTTTGAATTACAACAATAAGCACAATATGCTTACAACCAACTGTTGCACGTGTATTCATGACAGCGACGACATCTACAATGCTAGAACAGGCTCTCCTACCAACAATGCCATAATATATCTGCCTCGTTTTAGAAACATAAATACATGTGTGAGTGCATATTAAAGAACAATCGGGACATGACATTACGGGCGCTGCTCGCGCGTTAAATTATCATCGACTGATAGTATCTGGTCACACATTTAAGACTCCTTAGCTTACTCCAAGGAGGATACCCCAAGTCAGACAATGGTACCCATGCTGAAGTATAGCTTTTCCAAAAAAGCCTCTAAACACGTACTTATACCCCTTTGCAAGTGCAGAAACTTAAAATACTGTTTCCAAGTTGAGGTAACATTAATTCATGAGATTCATTTTTTCACATTTGATTACTCTAACACGGCACACGCGTATTCAAGTCAAATAACTAAATAACACCCCTTTTACGCGTTTTTTTACTTCATCTTGCGTACCATATTTTATTCAGAGAACCCCCCCCCCCGGAACAAATATTATAGATTTCCCGAATGTTAATATAGATGTGGGCTATTACGAATAGATCTGCTCGTGTTGATTGTCATGTTGGAAATGGCATGCCGAAATGAATAATTATATACCCTATATATAAAATATGTTTTTGAAATGCAGTCCCTCACCCCCTATTTTCGCAGATTTTTCGTCGCCGGAGCGATTCACGTCCCAAATTTTGGTTCTCTGTGCGTCTCTAATAAATACTCTATCTAACCGCTGGACTGAATTAGCTGAATTATGAAAAATTCATAGAAGATTGGGCGAAAA